ATGAAATACAAATACTTCTTAAGTACAGTCCTTTTATTTGAATGATTATGTCCTGCTGGAGTGTGACATGATTTGCTTGTGCGAATTTTATATATTTATACTTCTCATTCAACCACAGTTAAATTCACTCTATCTAGGAGGCTCAGTTTATATGGATAGTTTTTATTTTTACAATAACAAGCTGGAATGAAAACAAGCAAAAATGAAATAAAAGTAACGACTTTCTACTTCTTGTCTTTTTTTAAAAATGTAGGAAGTAGAAGTAAAAAGTAGGCTGAAAAAAATTACTCAAGTAAAGTACAGATACCCAAAAATCTACAGTAAAGTATTTGTAYTTAGTTACTTTATAACCCAGATTTAGGAATGAAAGGCAGCAGGTGAAGTGAATTCTGTTGATCAGGTTAACTTCCTCATTAACCTGTCATCTTATAAAACCTGTTTGTTGTGTTTAAAGTCAAACCCTCGGCCCTGAAGCTACGGCAGCCGCTGAAGCCAGAAAGATGAAATTCATTCAGCTCACACGCCGTTTCCTCCCGGTTGCCTAGCAACAGGCCCTGGCAGCGAGGGCGAAGAGATGGCAGCGTGAGGCGTTTGTGTGCGCCTGATTTATTTATTTTATTTTTTTATTTCTTCACACGCTGGGTCACTTGAAGCTGCTCAGATTCACACGCGGCGTCTGGGTTACTCAGCGTTGCATCAGAAAGCCAACAGGAAGTAGAAAACACCTCACGTCTCGTCCGCCCGCTCCTTCCTTTGTTCGCCTCCCGGCCTTTTGTTTCCGGAGCGTTCCTCTGGGCCGATGTTCAGCACGTTTTAAAGGCCGGTTAGATGGTTTTACGGATTAAAAAGATCAAAGAAACGTCTCAGTTTCTGTGGTTACAGCTGATTGTTGTCAGGACTGCTGGGCTTACACTTCCTGTTTGATCAGATCCTCAAGAAATCAGCTGAAACCTGGAAGTGCTGAAATCTTATTACCTGCGATTCATGATGGGTTGAGCTTCTCTAAATCCAGCTGGTCAGATGGAGCTTTGTCCACCATTTGATCTAATTTAGTTTAAACTGGCAGCGGTGGGTGCAGCTACCAAAAAAAGTTAGCTTCATCTAATGAACAAGAATCTTAGCTCTCCTAACACTAAACATAAAAAATAGATGCTAATGCTAACGCTAACCATATTTTTATAAACACTGTTTGAAGTTAGTCAAACAACAAATAGTAAATACTTTTTCTTGTAGTCAGTTTTTATATTTATTTCATTTCTTTGATGCTTTAAGTTTGAAGTTTAGCTGCTAAAGAYGCTACATGCTACACACGYGGAGCCTGACACACCMWGCAYTGATTGTAGGAGATTTAAAAGGACCTCAGTTTAGCTTGTTTGTCGCGCTAGCGCTGAGCTAATACATATAAGCTAATACA